ACTTTAGTTCTAACAAAATAGTCTGGTTCTAACTATTCAGTTTAGTTCTAACAAATCACTTTAGTTCTAACAAAATAGTCTGGTTCTAACTATTCAGTTTAGTTCTAACAAATCACTTTAGTTCTAACAAAACAGTCTGGTTCTAACGAATCACTTGTTAACAGCCCACGATTTATAACACAACATTTCACTCTTAAAAGCCTAAACACACAGTGAATGGTGAATGGTTTTGAAGCCTCGTAAACACGCCTGAGATAACATCTAACAAGCAATTTATTTATCATCAATAACATCCAATGAACCATGACAGATTTTTTTTTTTTGGCAGCAGTTTTTTTAGGAGACTGAAAGATTTAACATACCGGAACTTTTTGTCTTTTTTCTTTCAAGAATTCACGTCTAACAGACTCATTTCTATCAGTAAATAAGTTCTACAAAGCAGTCACATCAACCATTCTTCAAACACACTTCCACCTGGCAGTGTTCAGACATAATTTAGTGTCACATAGTAACTTTTATCTACTTATAATAACTTTAATTTTCCGGACGAAAATAGACATCTTTTTCGTCCATAATTACGAAGATCTCAGGTGATGCAACTCAGATAACAGTATCCCCTTCTACCATAATTAACTTAATTTGAATCTGATATATTTCTAGCTTCTCAAAGTACCGAGTTTCGTTTTCTAGAGAACCACCCATTAGCCTAATAATGTTCTCTTATTCTATCAACCTAATCTCTTCTTTATCTATCAACCTTCTGATATATTCTCAATATAAATACCCACTTTGTACTATTCTCAATATGTACCCAATCCATACTATTCTTAATATGGGTCCAATCTTCACTATTCTCAATACGTACCCAATCCACACTATTCTTAATATGGGTCCAATCTTTACTATTGTCAATATGTACCCAATCTGTACTATTCTTAATATGTACTCAATCTGAAATATTCTCAATATGTACCAAATCTGCACGTTTCCCAATATGTATCGAATCTGTGCTATTCTCACGTGCCCAATCTGTAATATTCTGAATATGTACCCAATCTGTACTATTCTTAATATGTACTCAATCTGAAATATTCTTAATATGTACCAAATCTGCACGTTTCCCAATATGTACCGAATCTGTGCTATTCTCACGTGCACAATCTGTAATATTCTGAATATGTACCCAATCTGTACCAATACACTGTTATTCCGACCCAATCAACCTACCAACCCCCTTTCTCAATTGATCAGCTTACTAATCCATTCTCAAGCTTAACCTTCCCTCAACCTACTCTTCAACCGCCCATAACCCATTGTCAACTATATCCACCCATAACCCCATCTTCCCCCCCCCCAACCAACCAATCTATTTTTGATCTATTACCTTCCCAACCCATTCTCAAGCCATCAACCAAACAACCTATTATTAAATGGATAACTTCCCCAAACCCATACCCCTCCCCCATCCCGCCAACCCCATTACCCTATCCAACCCATTCTCAACCTTATCCTCCCCCCCCCCAAAAAAAAAAAACACCTCCCCAATTTCCCCCTTCCCTGTCCCCCTAACCCATTCTCAACCACATCCTCCCCCCCTAAACCCACCTCCTTCCCCTCCCCCCCTTAAACCCACCTCCTTTCCCTCCCACCCCTAAACCCACACCTCCTTCCCTCCTCCCTGCCCCTCAAACCCATTCTCAACCTCATCCTCCCCCCCTAAACCCACCTCCTTCCCCTCCCCCACCCCCTAAACCCACACCTTCTTCCCTCTCCCCTTCCTACCTCCCAAACCCATTCTCAACCTCACCTCCCCCCTAAACACACCTCCTTTCCCTCCCCCTAAACCACCTCATTCCCTTCTCCCCCTAAACCCACCTCCTTCCCCTCCAACCACCCCATCCCTCCCCACCCACCCTACCCCCCCCAACCAACCAACCAACCCCACCCCCCCAAAAAAAAAAAAAAAAAAAAAAAAAAAAAACTTACCCGAGAGCCGAATCGACTTGCACGGCGTCGGCGACGAGGAACCCTCCGCGTCCTCTTGGCCCCGACCAGCTTCTCGAAGTCGGCGATGGTGAAACCCGAGCTCGACGACCCGCCCCCGCCTCCGGACGACTGGGACCCGCGGCTGGCGATGCACTTCTGCCCTCGCACAGGGACGAGATCTCCAGCATCTCCGCCGTCCGCATGAAGGATTCCAGCTCCGTGGCGTCGACGGTGGCCTCGCCTCTGCGGACGGGAGGGGGGGGGGGGGGTTAGAAGGGGGAAGAGAGAGAGGGGGTGGGGGAGGGGGTTTAGAAGGGGTTGGGGGAGAGAGAGGTTGGGGAGAGAGGGAAGGGGGAGGGGAGGGGGAAGAAAGGGGGTGGGGGAAGAGAGAGAGGGAGTTAGAAGGGGAGAGAGAGAGGGAGTTAGAAGGGGGAGAGAGAGGAGTTAGAAGGGGAGAGAGAGAGAGAGGGGGGGGGGGGCGGGAGTTAGAAGGGGCGGTTGAAGAGAGAGAAAAGAGAGAGAGGGGGAGGGGTGGTTAGAAGGGGCGGCGGGAAGAGAAAGAGAGAGAGAAGGGGAGGGAGGAGTTAGATGGGGAAGAGAGAGAGAGGAAAAAGGGGATTAGAAGGGGCGGGGGAAGAGAGAGAGAGGGGGGGGCGGTTAGAAGAGGCCTCAGCTAGGAAACAAATCCTAAGAAGAGAGAGCAAAAAGAAGAAGCAGGGAAAACAGAGAAGCAGGAAAAAAGAAAAAAAGGAAAAAACAAAAGAAGAAGAAGGAAAAAATTAAAGGAAAGAAAAGAAGAAGAAGGAAAAAATTAAAGGAAAGAAAAAGAAGAAGAAGAAGAAGGAAAAAAAGAAGAGAAGAAGAAGAAGAAGAAGAAGAAAAAAGGAAAGAAGAAGAAAAAGAAAAGAAAGAAAAAAAAAAAAAAGAAAAGGAAAAAAAAGAAGAAGCAGAAAGAAAAAAAAAACAAAACTACCTCATCAATACTCACGTGTAGATGAAATTAATGATGTTTTTAAGTTCGGCAAACTTAACATCCCGAAGAAGCACCACACTCTGCACGTTCATCTCGCGACTCAGAACTTGGCGGAAATATGGACTTGCTAAACACAGGACGATCTGCAAATGATAATGATAACAACATTAATAATAATGATAATGATAGTAATAATAATGATAATAATAATGATAATAGTAATAATAATAATAACAACAACATAAAAATATAACGGTCGTATTAATGTTAATAATAATAATAATAATAATAATAATAATAATAATAATAATAATAATAATAATAATAACAATGATAATGATACTACTACTACTACTACTAGCAATAAATATAATAATAATAACTATAATAAAATGTATAATAAGGATAATCATACTACTACTAACTAATAATAATAATAACAATAACAATAATAATAATAAGAGTAATAACATAATAATAGGCCTAATAATAATAATATCAATTATAAATAAACAAATAAATGGAAATTGAGCTCTGCCTTTTTCAAGTTACGTTTTACCAATTCCATCTTTATTTTCCCCGACTAATTTTAAAGTTTCCCGCATTGCTAAAGAAAAGAAAGAAAAAAAAATCGAAAAAAAAATTAAAATGGGGGAGGTCGATATGAATCCCGTGTTGCTTAAGAAAAGAAAAGAAAAAAAAATCTATAAAAAGACGATAACAAAGGCCTATAAAAAAGGGGTCGATATGAATACTAACCAATAAAAAGTCTTTTCCTTAAACTCGACTTAAATATTCATTTCTATACAAGCGATTGTAGATCAGGATCGAACTCTTCAGAGACGATCTGAATCGATTCCAGAGGATCGAAAACCCTTTATATATATATATATATATATATATATATATATATATATATATATATACATACATACATACATACATACATACATACATATATATATATATATTATATATATATATTATATATATATATATATATATATATGCATGTATGTATATATATATTTTTTTCTTCTTTTTTCTATTCATCTATTTTTTTATTACGAATAAACGATCTGAATCGATTTCAAAGGATCGAATCCCCTTTTTAATTCTATTTCTTGCTTTCTTTTTTTTCTTTAAATCACGAATTAAAAATGCCCAAATCCCCTTCCCAAACTCTTCTTTTTTTTACCTTTAAATCACGAATGAATAATGCTCTTCCAGAATTCCAAACCGATTCCAAATCAGTAAATCCCCTTTAACCAATTCCCAAATCCATTCCGGGCAAATTAATCCATTCCCATTCCAGTTCAAGAATCGCCTTTCACCCAAAATCGTTTTCCTTATACATCTATAACCAAATAAATAGTCAAAAATTAAAATATATTATAAAAAATAAAGAATATATAGTAAATAGTCAGACATTAGAAAAATACATACATAAATGTATAATAAAGTCAGACATTAAAATCAATGATAAAAAATAAAAATAAATAATAAACAGCCAGACAAAAAATAATAATGAACCAAAAAAATAGTCAGACAGTTAAAAAATAATAAAAAATAAAAATAAATAATAAATACTGACCTTAGAAAAATAAATATATATATAATAAATAGTCAGACATTACAATATAATAAAAACAAAAATAAATACAAAAAAAATAACAAATAGCCAGACATTGAAAAAACAAAAAATGGGCCCTCACCCCCCCCCACTCACCCGATGGGCCCTCACACTCTATCCCCCCTCTCCCCCCCCACCCCACCCCCACCACCACTCACCGATGGGCCCTCAAACTCTGCCCCCCCCCACCCCCACACCACCACCCCACTCACCGATGGGCCTCAAGCTCTGCCCCCAACCCCCACACCCCCCACTCCTCTCACTCACCCGATGGGCCCTCAAGCTCTGCCCCCAACCCCCCACCCCCACTCCTCTCACTCACCCGATGGGCCCTCAAGCTGTGGCCCTCAGCTGTGAGCGTGACGTCAGTGTAGGTGTCGTCTCGGAGCAGCTGATCCAGGACGGTCGTGCAGTGGGATTCCTTCTTCAGCAGGTAAGGCCCGACCAGCTCTGAAGGGAAAAGAAATGGTAAATTTGCTTTCATTATTTTCTTTTTTTTTATTTTATTCATTCTTTATTATTAATATGGAAATGGTAAATTTGCTTTCATTATTTTCTTTTTTATTATTTATGTATTCACTCTTTATTATTAATATGGAAATTAATACGGAAATGGTAAATTTGCTTTCATTATTTCCTTTTTTATCATTGTGTATTTATTCTATATTATTAATATGGAAATTAATATTAATATGGAAATGGAAAAATTGCTTTCATTGTTTTCTTTATTCTTATTATTTATTTATTCTTTATTACTAATATGGAAATTAATATCAATATGGAAATGGTAAATTTGCTTTCATTATTTTCTTTTTTGTTATTATATATTTCACTCTTTATTATTAATATGGAATAATATTAATATTAATATGGAAATGGAAATTTTGCTTTCATTATTTTCTTTTTTATTATTATGTATTCACTCTTTATTATTAATATGGAAATTAATACGGAAATGGTAAATTTGGTTTCATTATTTTATTTTTTATTATTATTTATTCCTTCTATATTATTAATATGGAAATTAATATAAATATGGATATTGATATGGAAATGGTGAATTTGGTTTCATTATTTTCTTTTTTATTATTAAATATTCACTCTTAATTATTAATATGGAAATTAATACGGAAATGGTAATTTGGTTTATTATTTCTTTTTTATTATTATTTTATTTATTCTTTATTATTAATATGGAAATTAATATTAATATGGAAATGGATTTTTTTTTTCTTTTTTATTATTATTTTCTTTATTTTATCATGTTTTTCTTTTATTATTCTTTTGTTTTTTTATGATTATAATTTCCTTTATTATAATTTTTATCATTATTGATATCTTATTTCTTCTTATTATATATTTTTTTTGTACTTTTGTAATATTATTTTATTATTTCTTTTTTTTATTTGGTTGGATTGGTCTAAGTCTAGACATAAGGACAGTAAAATAAGGAAAACAGAAAATGGAAATTGTCTTTTTTTCTTTTCGTAGAGTTCAAGAGAAGGGAGAGAGAGAGAGGAGAAGAGAGAGAGAGAGAGAGAGAGAGAGAGAGAGAGAGAGAGAGAGAGAGAGAGAGAGAGAGAGAGAGAGAGAAAGAGAGAGAGAGAGAGAGAAAGAAAGAAAGAGACAGAGAGAGAAAGAAAGAAAGAAAAAGAGAGAGCGAGAGAAAAAAGAGAAAGAAAAAACGAAAACAAACACAAATAAGATACGAAAAAAAGAAAAAAAGAACAAAAAAAAGAAAAAAGAAAGAGATCAAAGGAGAGACAGACAGAGAAAGAGAAAACCCCACTTACCCTGAGGTCCTTGAGAAGGGGAAGAAGGCTGTTCCGAAGCATCCTGTCTCGAGGTGTCATCTCCTCCATCTGCCAAAAAGAAAAAAGAGAAAAGAAAATAAGCTTCGTGAATCTCTGATATTCATAATAGTTCATTGTACTGTATTTATCCATTTCATTAACCCATTATTATTATTATTATTATTATTATTATTATTATCATCATCATTATATTATTATTATTATTTTAGTTTAATGAGACTGAAAAGCAATCTGCAGTTAATTTAATGAGATTGAAGAGGAAAAATCATTTTTTTTTTTTTTTAGTTTAATGAGATCGCAAAGGAAACATCAATTTTTTTTGTTTGTTTAATGAGATTGCAAAGGAAACCGATTTTTCATTTTTTTTTTCTTTAATGAGATTGCAAAGGAAACCATATATATTTTTTTAGTTTAATGAGATTGCGAAGGAAACAGCAGATTTTTTTAAATATAAATTTAATAAAACTGCAAAAGAAACAGTAGATTATTAAGTACATCTATTAATCTGTAGTTTAATAAAAATATAAAGTACATAGCCGATCAATAAATACATCTATCAATCTATTTAATTTAATGAAACTCTAAACAACGGATCAATAAGTATATCTATCAATCTGATTGGTTTAGTAAAAAAATACACACATCATTAAATAAATCTATTTAGTTTAATGGGATTGAACACTACACAAGATAATAAAAAATACGTTTAATAAACCATTTACTTCCATGGAAAACAGCAAAGTACAAAACAGATCATGAAATACATAAAATACAAACCTTTACATTATCCAAGCATTTATTCCCTACAATACAATATCAGGTAATACTTTTTCTCCTAGTGCTAAATTTGGCACATAACCACAGGGTATAATAAGGGGGAACACCACCATGTACTATTTCCACAGAAGCGAATATTGCTACAGAATGTCATTTATTAAATTGGGATAATAAAATACTCCCTTTTTCTCTTTTATTTATTTTATTTTATTTTGTAATGGACAGAATCTCATTTTACCAAATTGGGATAATAAAATACTCCTTTTTTTCTTTTTTTTTTTCTTTTTGTAATGGACAGAATGTCATTTATTAAATTGGGATAATAAAATACTCCTTTTTTCTCTTTTATTTTCTTTTTGTAATGGAGAGAATGTTTTTTACTGAATTGGGATAATAAAATACTCCTTTTTTTCTCTTTCTTTTTTTTTTCTTTTTGTAATGGACAGAATGTCATTACTAAATTGGGATAATAAAATACTCCTTTTTTCTCTTTCTTTTTTTCTTTTTGTAATGGACAGAATGTCATTTACTAAATTGGGATAATAAAATACTCCTTTTTTCTCTTTCTTTTTTTCTTTTTGTAATGGACAGAATGTCATTTACTAAATTGGGATAATAAAAATACTCCTTTTTTTTCTTTCTTTTTCTTTTGTAATAATGTTTTTACTAAATTGGGATAATAAAATACTCCTTTTTTCGTGTAATGGGCAGAATGTCATTTACTAAATTGGGATAATATACTCCCTTTTTCTTTTTTTTTGTTTTGTAATGGACAGAATGTCATTTACTAAATTGGGATAATAAAATACTCCTTTTTTCCTTTTTTTACTTTTTGGAATAAAGCATCTGCGGGATCTTAACATGATTGTACATGTGTTTAACCCTTTAGATGACCAATCAGTACTCGCAGTCCTTATCAACTTATATAATCAATGTGATCAAATAACAAGGTCTATATATATACGAACATAGACCTTGCTTGCACTTCCTATAACAAAGCTTCATCGGATATAAAGATCTCAGTGAATACTCACGTGCTTACCAATTCTTTCTCGAGCTGAGAATTTTATTTATTATTAATATCTCGATTATAATTTACTATAAACAAAGAGCTTGTTTTATAAAAACCAATTTACTATAAACAAATAGCTTGTTTTAAAATTCTTTCGTGGTCAGATTAAATGTCACTTTCATAAACAAGTGATGCTTTCATTGTGTATTTTGTACTGGAAGACAAGAAGTGTCAAATTCTGATTGAAGCCAGGCAGTGTATTGAAAAAGTAAAGAATAAAAGTAAAAGTAAAGTGTATGTGTGTAAAGGTAAAGTGTGTAAGTATAAAAGTAGTGTATAAGTGTAAAAGCAGTGTATAAATAAAAATAAAGTGTAAGTGTAAAAGTTAAAGTAAAGTGTATAAATAAATGAGAGTAAAGTGTGTAAGTACAGTGTATTGAAAAAAGTAAAAGGCTAATGTTTTGATCCTAACAAAATGGCATAAAAATGTGTCGATTCCATACAATGCCTTGTGAGACAAACACACATCAACCTGCCATAAATTTAACACATACACCTGCCATAAATTTAACACATACACCTGCCGTAAATTTACCCACAGATACAACATAAAAACGCTACACACACACATAGAAGTGTAGAAATACATATAAAAATCAAAAGACGTTTATATCTCATCTAAAGTTACGAAAAGATGATAAAATCATCAAAATCCTATATTGATCAAGAAACACGGTAGATTTTACTCCCTTCTAAGCGAAAAACCGTAATCTCACTTTTCGTTTGATTCCATATTCTCTCAAGGTCTTTCGTCTCAATCCCTAGCAGTTATTGCCTTAAACAAACACGTTTAAATGCCTATCCTAAACTAAACTGAACTTGGTCTCTGGAATTACAATACCAGACATATTTTCACAGACTATAGGAAATATATACACTTCACATGTGTTTATGTATGTGCGTGTGTGTGTGTGTGTGTGTGTGTGTGTGTGTGGTGTGTGTGTTGTGTGTGTGTGTGTGTGTGTGTGTGTGTGTGTGTGTGTGTGTGTGTGTGTGTTGTGTGTGTGTGTGTGTGTGTGTGTGTGTACGTGTGTGTGTGTACGTGTGTGTGTACGTGTGTGTGTGTGTGTGTGTGTGTGTACGTGTGTGTGCAAGTGTGTGTGTGCGTGTGCACAAAATCTGTGGCTCTTAGCTCATCATTACACGAAAGCCCTGAAAGGATATTTATTTTTATTGTTCATCACGTGAGGTGGAAAATTATAAAATCATATACATGTAATACCCCTCAAGTTTCATGCATATTGCTGTGGTGCATTTACATCAAAATAGAAATCAAATCAAAAATAAAAATGAAAATCACTGTCAACTATTTACTTCTGCAAATTTGATGTTCATTTTACAGTTATTTGCACAAATGAATTAGAACTGGTCTCTTAAACTACACTATTGGATACAAATGGTTGTTATTTAACCTCATTTCTTCATTGGGCATTTCCTCCGATTTTCTGCACTATTGTCAGTTAGATTTGAACAGTTGTAAAGCATATGAATACTTGCATACTTTTTGCTTATTCTCCTTTATATACGAGATCCCTCCCCGCCATTATTTTCCATCCTTTTTGAGAATTGAAGAGACCAAAATGATCGACCACATTCACAAAACATCCGTGAATTTTGTGACGTCATCAAAATAAACCCCATGTGCTTTTTCACACAAACAAACAAAAACAAAGAAGAATCAGACGCCATGACACCTCCTCCAGTTGCTACTGATTTACGCTTCCCCTGGTTAAATGCTTGTTCAAATTGAGTCACGAATGATTACGATAAAAGACGTAATTATAAAATATCACCCTTTGACCAGCATTCACTCTTGTGCTATTTTGTCGGAAACTCACACTTGATAAGCAAGGAATAGTTACGTCGGCTTTAAGTAGCAGTTTCATCTGATGTTTTGCACTCGGGTAAGTTCTGAAATAAAGCTCTTTAGGTATCGACGCTTTTATTTAAAATCGTCGTTTTTTTATTATTTTTTATTTATTTATTTATTTATTTATTTATTTATTATTTTTTTTTTTACTGCTCTGTGGGCTTCGACATTTTAAAGACTTATCATTCGTTCTTTAATTGAAAGTTGAGTTTTAACTTCTCATCGGCTTATAACGGCACTTCATTACTTATAGCAACACTTAATTGAATATATAGTAAGTGGACTGTTAAGTGAACTGTTAAGTAAACTGTTAAGTAAACTGTTAAGTGAACTGTAAAAACTGTTAAGTAAACTGTTAAAGTAAACTGTAAAGTGAACTGTTAAGTAAACTAAGTAAACTGTAAAACTGTTAAGTAACTGTTAAGTAAACTGTAAAGTGAACTGTTAAGTTAAACTGTAAAAACTGTTAAAGTAAACTAAAGTGAACTGTTAAGTAAAACTGTTAAGTAAACTGTAAAGTGAACTGTTAAGTAAACTGTTAAGTAAACTGTAAAGTGAACTGTTAAGTAAACTGTAAAGTGAACTGTAAAGTGAACTGTTAAGTAAACTGTTAAGTGAACTGTTAAGTAAACTGTAAGTAAACTGTTAAGTAAACTGTTAAGTAAACTGTTAAGTGAACTGTTACATGGTTGAGGTTCAAGTGGCATTTATGAACATCGTAGAGACAGGTCCATACAGCGGTGACGCTCTTTGTTATCCATAACTGGCAACTCTTTCTGATTGGCGGGAAGTAAATGTTGATCAATAGTAAACTTCAACGTAAATGAGCCAACCACACTATTTTGGATTCAGATTACATAACGGCCAGATTAGTTTCGATACTGTCAAATCAGCTAACAATTATTAAAGTAATTTCGATCGATATTTTGAATTCAGATTACATAACGGCCAGATTAGTTTCGATAATGTCAAATCAGATGACATAACTATTACATTAATTTCGATCGATATTATTTTGGATTCAGATTACATAACGGACAGATTAGTTTAGTAAATGTTGATCAATAGTAAACTTCAACATAAATGAGCCAACGACACTATTTTGAATTCAGATTACATAACGGCCAGATTAGTTTCGATACTGTCAAATCAGATGACATAACTATTACATTAATTTCGATCGATACCATTTTGAATTCAGATTACATAACGGCCAGATTAGTTTCGATACTGTCAAATCAGATGACATAAGTATTACATTAATTTCGATCGATATTTTGAATTCAGATTACATAACGGACAGATTAGTTTCGATACTGTCAAATCAGA